TAGGCGACATGGAAACTGGTTCAGCTTTTCTAACAGCAATGAGATCTGACACCTCCCAGATCTGGGAACTCTGAGACCCAATGGTGGGTGGAGAAAATCCACGAGTGAGGACACAGACTTCCAACCCGCCACAGATGGGCCACTGTATGGCCCTGTGGAAACATCAGGTCACTCTGGAGACCCCTGGAAGATGATGGAGTAGGAGTTCAGTGGTTTTCAGCATTTAGGGTCTGAAAGCATGTAACATCAAAGACCAAAAAGACCCACATTTCCAAGAAAGATGTTACGCGTTTAGCAGTATGACACTGACACCTGGGATATTACAAATCACAGGTGTCCAATCTAGATTGTACCCGGTGCTACCATTAAGGGGCTCTGCTTCTAAACCAGATGATATCTGGGCAGAAGAGCAGAAAGATCCAAGAGAGTCCTGCAGTTAGCATGATCTTGGTCCAACTGTGCAACCTTTGTAGGCTTCCATTTGCTTATCGTAAAAATACATCTATAAAAGTGGGGTGCTATGGCCCACGCCTGTAATCCCAGCACTTTGGGAGGCGAAGGCAGGCAGATCACCTGAGGTGATTTGAGTTTGAGACCAGCCTTACCAACATGGAGAAATTCTGTCTCTACTAAAAATACAAAAAAAATTAGCCAGGTGTGGTGACACACGCCTGTAATCCCAGCTACTCAGGAAGCTGAGGCAGGCAAATCACTTGAACCTGGGAGGTGGAGGTTGTGGTGAGCCAAGCATTGTACTCCAGTATGGGCAACAAGATTGAAAACTCCATCTTAAAAAAAAAAAAAAATTATTCTATAACTAATAATAGTATCAACATTAGGGCAGATAATCATTGTGAAGATTAAATTAGATGATATAGCACTCACAATATAGGAGCTGCACAAATATACACTGGGATTATTATTAATAGAATCATTCTCTCTTTTTTTTTTTTTTTTGAGATAGAGTCTCATTCTGTCACCCAGGCTGGAGTGCAGTGGCTTGATCTCAGTTCGCTGCAACCTCCACCTCCTGGGTTCTAGCGATTCTCCTGCCTCAGCCTCCCGAGTAGCTGGGACTACAACCACACATCACCACACCCAGCTAATTTTTGTATTTTTAGTAGAGACAGGGTTTTGTTATGTTGGACAGGCTGGTCTCGAGCTCCCAAGCTCAGGTGATCCTCCTGCCTCAGCCTCCCAAAGTGTTGGGAGTACAGGCATGAGCCACCATGCCCAGCCTGATCATTCTCGTTTCACAATAATGATAAATGGCCAAGCGTGGTGGCTCACACCTATAACCCCAGTACTTTGAGAGGCTGAGGAGGGAGGATTGCTTGAGGCCAGGAGTTGGAGACCAGCCTGGGCCACAGAATGAGACTCTGTCTCTCCAAAAACTACAAAAATTAGCCAGACATGCCAGCACATAATTATAGTCCCAGCTACTCAGGAGGCTAAGGCAGAAGGATGGTTTGAGCCAAAGAGATGGAGGCTGCAGTGAGCCATGATGGTGCCACTGCACTCCAGCCTGGGCCACAGAGCGAGGCTCTGTCTCAAAAACAAATAATAACAAATAGAAATTTAAAAATGCAGAAATGAAATAATCCTAGCCTACATGCAAGGATGAGTAAAAGTCCCTTAAATAAAAACAGAGTGATACGTCTGTTCTTCTGCTGTTCCACTGTTACACTTCCACAGACTCTCATCAGGCGAATGTTTCACTCCAGTACAAAACAGGCAGCAGCTACTTTATTTTGCAATTGAATGATCATTTTGAGTTGTTTTTCGTTGGTTTGTTTTGCTTTTGTTTTGTTTTTTGGAGGTGTTTTGGATTTGTTTTTGTTTTTGTCCCTGATCAGTGTCAAGACTGGTGTTCAGAACATTCATGCCGATACAGCAAGGCCAGTACCACTGACAGGTTAAGACATTGCAGTGGGGAAGCAGGGGGCGGAGCGTGGGGGGAGGGTCTGGTGCTGCACTGTCCTCATGTACTTTTGCTACTGTTCTTGACAGAGGTGTTGGGGATGGGAGACAATAGGGAGTGGTGAAGACTGAGGCTAACAGGGGGCACATATGCAGATCAGGGTCTGTGTTTTAATATGGGGGTGGGACACAGTGGCTCACGCCTCTAATCCCAGCACTTTGGGAAGCTAAGCCAGGAGGATCACTTGAGATCAGGTGTTTGAAACCAGCCTGGCAACAAAATGAGACCCCATCTCTACCATAAATAATTTTGTTATTAGCCAGTCAGCCAGGTGCAGTGGTTCACGCCTGTAATTGCAGCACTTTGGGAGGCTGAGGTGGGAGGATCACTTGAGGCCAGGAGTTTGAGACCAGCCTGAGCAACATGCTGAAATCTCATCTCTACTAAAAATTAAAAAATTAGCTGGACATGGTGGTGTACTTCTGTAATCCCAGCTACTTGGGAGGCTGAGACATGAGAATCACTTGAACCCGGGACATGGAGGTTGCAGTGAGCCCAGATTGCATCACTGCACTCCAGCCTGGGTAACAGAGTGAGATGCCATCTCAAAAAAAAAAAAAAAAGAAGAAGAAGGGCAGGGCACAGTGGCTCACATCTGCAATCCCATCACTTTGGGAGGCCAAGGCAGGAGGGTCACAAGTTGAGAAAATCGAGACTTTCCTGGGTAACATGGTGAAACCCTGTCTCTACTAAAAATACAAAAAATACACCACCACCGAGTGTGGTGGCTTGCGCCTGTAATCCCAGCTACTCAGGAGGCTGAGGCAGAAGAATCGCTTGAACCCAGGAGGCAGAGGTTGCAGTGAGCAGAGGTTGCACCACTGCACTCCAGCCTAGGCAACAGAGTGAGACTCTGTCTCAAAAAAAAAAAGAATGAAAGTGGCATTTTGAAGCCAAAACAAGAAGGAGGAGGAGGAGGAGGAGGAGGAAGGGAAGGAGAAGAAGAAAAGAAGAAGAAGGAGGAGGAGGAGGAGGAGGAGGAGAATTACTAGCTGAGTCCACGTGGTGGTGTGGACCTGTGGTCCCAGCTACTCGCAAGGCTGAGGCAGGAGAATCACTTAAGCCCAGAAGGTCAAGGCTCCAGTGAGCACTCCAGCCTGACAGAGCAAGACCCTGTCTCAAAACATTAAAAATATAAAATATACATTAAAAATATGTATATATATAATTTAAGGAAGACAGCCCAATTTCTTTAGCTCTGCCTCTGGTTTTTCTGATTTTTCTATATTTTTAGGCAACCGCCCTCCACCAGTTTTAAAATATTGGCCCAATTTTTTTTGTTAATACTGTGGGTCAAATAAAACATACTGCAGACCTGATTCAACCCTGGACCACCATTCTGTGAACTGGGCTTGCTCTGCTGCAGTCCTCACCGTTACCTCCCGTATGTGTTGACAAGAGTGGAGAATGGCTGGGGTCACGTTGCATGGTTGTCTAGGGTGTCTACTGCCCAAGGGCACCACACCGAAGAGGATGCCATTTCTAACACAGGCATCTAAGATTTGTACGAAGAATTTCTACAATTCTCCAGCAGAGGGCAGTCACATGTCATACTCCAACGAAATCACAGAAATTTTCATTGGTTGGAAAGTCTGTAATTTCCAACCTATTACAGAAGGTTGTCCTGTAATCCACACAAAGGTGTTATAAGAGCTAGCAGCAGGTCAGGTGTGGTGGCTCACACCTGTAATCCCAACACTTTGGGAGGCCAAGACAGGAAGATCACTTGAGCTCAAGAGTTCAAGACTGGCCTGGGCAATATAGTGAGACTGTCTCTAAAAAAATTTTAAAAATTAGCCAGCCATGGTAGTGCATACCTGTGATCCCAGCTACTCAAGAGGCTGAGGCAGCAGAATCACTTGAGCTCAAGAGGTGGAGGCTGCAGTGAGCTATGACCATGCCACTGCACTCCAGCCTGAACAACAGAGCAACACTTTCTCTCAAAAAAAAGTTTTTGTTTAATGTTCTTCTTTTTTTAAGACAGTCTCACTCTTTTGCCCAGGCTGGAGGGCAGTGGCACAATCTCAGCTCACTGCAACCTCCACCTCCCAGGTTCAAGCAATTCTTCTGCCTCAGCATCCCAAGTGACTGAGACTACAGGCGTGCACCACCACACCTGGCTAATTTTTGTATTTTTAGTAAAGATGGAGTTTCACCATATTGGCCAGGCTGGTCTCGAACTCCTGACCTCATGATCCGCCTTCCTCAGCCTCCCAAAGTACTGGGATTACAGGCATGAGCCACTGCACTCAGCCAAAAAAAAAAAAAATTTAAACCTAGCAGCAGCCCCGAGGGTGGAGAATATTGAAATTAATGATCCTACTATTTCTGATTGAGTTGTAAAATGGAAGTTCCAAACACCAAGCGTTGGTGAGGTTGGAGAAGAACTGGGGTCCCTACGTTGCTGGTAGAAGTTAAATGGGTACACCTCCATTTGGAAGTTGTTTGGCAGCCCCTAAGCAAGCTGAACATACAAATACCCATGACCCAGCGATTCCGCTCAGTGTATATCCAACAGCGTCCATACTGGGTGCATCCAAAACGTGTTCCAGAACGTTCATAGGCACACTGTCCATAACGGCCCACACTGCAATGAGCTCCACTGTCCATCAATAACGGAAAGGGTAATTTGTGCTATATTCACATGGGAAACAGATTCCACTGTGCAAATGTGCCAACTGCTACTATGCATCATAGTATATGAGGACAAATCTCATAAAAGTCACCTTAAGTCAGCGAAGAGAACATCCCATGTGATTTTGTTTCTATAAAGCGTAAACAGCAGGCAAAGCTAATCTCTGTTGTTTGATGTTGGGATAGTGGTTTCCCTTAGAGGTAAATGCGTAGTGGCTGAAAAGAGACACAAGGGGCTGGGTGTGGTGGCTCACACTTGTAATCCCAACACTTTGAGAGACTGAGGCAGGCAGATCACCTGAGGTCAGGAGTTCGAGGCCAGCCTGGCCAACATGGCAAAACCCCATCTCTACTTAAAAATACAAAAAANGAACCAAGACTATAGTAACCATCACGAGCCTCCTCAACAAGCCCAAGAGTGAGGTGACCCCAGAGGAGCTGCAGAAGCGTGAAGGGGAGGAATTTAACATGGGCCCACTCTCTGCGCTCACGCAGTCAATCAAGAACAATACCCAAGGGCTTCTCAACTGCCACAGCAATAAGAAACTCCTGGACCCTGTGAAGGTCTCTGATAGGCACTGCAACATGGTACTAGAGAACGAGAAGGAGATGCGAACTGAGGTACCCAAGAGCGGCAGGGGCAAGAAGAAGTCCAAGCCAGTCGATAAAGACTGCTACATCGCCAAGATGTTCCTGTGTGGGAACTGGGCCATCGTGGTCCTGCAGCACCCGCTCACTGCCAGCAGGCAGGGGCCACCTATCCATTGATAGAACTCACTCCCAGGTCCTACAAAGACCGCCGCCATTGGCATTGAGAATAATAAAACTCTGTGCTTTTCTAATAAAAAAAAAAAAAAAAAAAAAAAAAAAAAAAAAAAAGAGAGAGAGAGAGACAAGGGAATCTGCCAAGGCAACCCCTGGTACCAACGCCTGAAGTTCAGCAGGAAGTGAGCACTGGGCAAGAGAGTGAAGCTTCATCTGTATTTGCAGCCTCTCCACATCACTCCCGTTACTGCCTGAGCTCCGCCTCCCATCAGATCAGCCGCACAAACCCTACTGTGAACTGCGCATGCAAGGGATCTAGGTTGCTCAGTCCTTATGAGAATCTAATGTCTGATGAGCTGTCACTGTCTCCCATCACCCCCAGATAGGACTGTCTAGTTGCAGAAATACAGGCTCAGGGCTCCCACTGATGCTATAAGATGAAAGTTGTAGAATTATTTCATTCTATATTACAATGTAATAATAATAGAAGTGCACAATAAATGTAACATGCTCGAATCATCCTGAAACCATCACCCCTGACCTGGGCCATGGAGAAATTGTCTTCCACGAAACTGGTCCCTGGTTCCAAAAAGGTTAGGGACCACTGTTCTAAGGGGCTGGGAAGGTTCTGCTTCTTGATCTGAGTGGTAGGCACATGAGTGAGTTCGGTTTCATCCTTTCACACTCCTTCTTTGCACGTTTTGCTGTCTGCATGCTAGACTCCAGCAAACATCTCAAAAGACAAGCACATATGTGTGTGTCAGGCAGAAAGGGAGAAAGAAGAAAGAGAAAACCACTGCATTCATCGATCACCACCTCTATGTGTAAGTTTCCTTCCAGGACTGCCTGGAATTGACGACTTTGCATTCCTGCAGAGGAAACCAACTTCCTTTGATTGCCTGTGTTCTGAGGCCAACTTCCCCGTAACTGCCGACCAGAAATCCTTCCTTGCGGCTGCCCCTGTAACGTGGCTGGCATTTGCAATTCGAAAGTGTCTTTGGCCCTGGTTTTCCAAGGAAATGAAAACGCTATGCGTTATCAGCGTATCATCCAACAATTTATCACCATGTTGGCACCTGACAATGTTGATTTATGATTCCAGCAAGAAGAGCAGCGCCCCCCAGCCCCCCAGTTAAGAAATGGAGACCTCAAGGAGTCCCGAACAGCAGGCAGGAGAGGCCATGAGGTTACCGCAAACTCGCTGTCCACAAGTGCTGGTGAGAATGGCTATGCAGACTGTGTTCCCTGCAGACCTCACGACTCTTTTTCTCCTCCCCTTGCTCCCGGGTGCTTTGTCTCTCACTCCTGGCTCCAGTGGAGCTGCTCTGCCTATGCATGCAGAAACTGAGAGGTGCCTGGGGTTCCTGTCCTCCCCCCCTCCCCGCCTCCCAGAGTCAGCTCTTAGCCAATGGCGGGTGGACTCCAGAATGTGAAAGCCCAGCTCCCTTTGCCCGAGTCTGGACAGACCCTGGGGCAGAACTTACACTACAGAGCCTTCCTGCAGATCGGGCCAAAGCCACCCCAGGGGGATTTTGCCAGAGGACCTTGCCCTGGCTCGGCTCCTAGGTACCCCTCCTCCTGCTCCCTTCCAGACTTCCCCAGACCACAGCCTTCCCACATGACTTGCACACAGTTCCTCGCCACAGGGCGTGCTTCTGTGGAACCCAACCTAAAACCGAGGGGAAAATGGATTCTAGCCTTTCTCAGATTCAGAAACAAGAAACCCAAATGGCCCGGGCCTCCCACCTCCCACCTCCCACCTCCCACCTCCCACACACCCACCTGTGTATCAGGTTTCTGCAAACACAAGCAAGTGGCTTGCAACACGTTTGCAAGCAGCCGTCATCATTTCCAGGATTTGCTATGACTCGGGTTGCAATGTTTTATTTCAGTTCAGTTCACAGACAGACATGAGCTACACTCCAGGGCTCATGCCCAAATCCGTGGCTTGGAACTCGAGACGCACTGTCCAGGATGGCCAGCATTAGGACGGCACCCACCAGGCGACAAGCCTGTTCCCAGAACAGCCTTTTTTTAATTATTTTTATTTTATTTTTGTTTATTTATTTATTTATTTATTGAGACACGGTCTTGCTCTGTGGCCCAGGCTGGAGTGCTGTGGTGCAATCATAGCTCACTGCAGCCTCGACCTCCCAAGCTCAAGCGATCCTCCCACCTCAGCCCCCCAGCCCCAGTAGCGTGGGACCACAGGCATGTACCACCGCGCCTGGCTAATTTTTTTTTTTTTTTTTTTGTAGAGACCAGGTTTCACCATCTTGCCCAGGCTGGTCTTGAACTCCTGGACTCAAGTTATTCACCTGTCTTGGCCTCCTGAAGTTCTGGAATTATAGACATGAGCCACCACGCCCAACCAGAAAAATCTTCTTGACCCATGTGTTACCAAACCTTGATTTTATTTCATTTCATTTCATTTCATTTTATTGTTGTTTTGAGACAGAGTCTCACTCTGTTGCCCAGGCTGGAGTGCAGCAGCATGATCTCATCTCACTGCAATCTCCACCTCCCGTGTTCAAGCGATTCAAGTATCCTCCTGTCTCAGCCTCCCAAGTAGCTGGAATTACAGGCGCACACTGCCACACTAGGCTAATTTTTGTATTTTAGTAGAGACGAGGTTTCACTATGTTGGCCAGGATGTCTCAAACTTCTGACCTCAGGTGATTCACTGGCATTGGCCTCCCCAATTGCTGGAATTACAAGGCATGAGCCACCACACCCGGCCTGAACCTTGATTTTAAATAAGTTAATCTGAGTTCCAGTGGTCTTCCCCCAGTTTGAGGTGGAAGATAACTTTCCCCCCCTGGAATCAAGTCTGCTATTCAGTACGGCAAGTGGGAACTCTGGGAGCTCAAAAACCTGGGAGCGGCCGGGCACCGTGGCTCACACCTGTAATCCCAGCACTTTGGGAGCCAATACTGGCGAATCACCTGAGGTCAGGAGTTCGAGACCAGCCCAGTCAACATGGTGAAACCCTGTCTCTAGTAAAAATAAAAATAAAAAAAATTAGCCGGTTGTGGTGGTGGGTGCCTGTAGTCCCAGCTACTCCAGAGGCTGAGGCAGGAGAATCGCTTGAACCTGGGAGGAGTAATTGCAGTGAGCCGAGATCGCGCCACTGCCCTCCAGCCTGGGTGACAGTGAGACTCTGTCTCAAAAAAAAAAGCCCCGAGAGCTCTGCCACTCAAGGTCTGGGATAGGCCACTGGCCCTCTGTGCCCTCCAAATGTCCCCATCTGTGCAATGGACACAAGAACACCAACCTCTCAGGACTAAAGTGAGAATTGTTCAATAATGTTAGGCCAGGTGCAGGGCTCACACCTGTAATGCCAGCGCACTTTGGGAGGCCTAGGCAGGTTCACTTGAGGTCAGAAGTTTAAGATCAGCCTGACCAGTATGGTGAGACCCTATGTCTACTGAAAATACAAAAATTAGCTGGGCATGGTGGCACACGCTTGTAGCCCCAGCTACTTGGGAGGCTGAGGTAGGAGAATCGCTTTCACCCAGGAGGTGGAGGTTGCAGTGAGCCAAAATCAGGCCACTGCACTTCAGCGTGAGTGACAGAGTGAGACTGTCTCAAAAATAATGAAAGCAATAATATTATTACTAAAGGGAGTTGAGCATGGTGGCTCACCTGTAACCCCAGCGCTTTGTTGAGGGCTCCACCAGGAGGATCACCTGTTGGAAGTAGAAGTTTCTTTTTAAGGTTTTCTTTCTTGTTAAAGAATAAGTGAGCTAATAACTTTGTTAAGCCCTATCCTATGTAGCTGTTAGACATACCATGCTTACAGGCACGTAGTACATTCTATGTCCTTGTACTTTAACCAAGATATCTGTGCTGTCCCAGTTCTCCATTGCTTTTACCTGTTTAGAAAAAGCATGTCCCAGCTCTCCATTGCTTTTACCTGTTTAGAAAAAGCATGTCCCAGCTCTCCATTGCTTTTACCTGTTTAGAAAACTATCAAGGTATTAGCCAATCGGGTTTTAGTTTAGATTGTGAGGTCTGGCTCCAGACAATGGATATCAGACACAGCAGTAAGGATGACCCCAAATACATAAGGGATAAACGTGTGTGTATTCCTTTGTTTGTTGTACTCTCGTGGCAAGAGGGCTGGTGAGGGTACCCTTCCTGTAGCCCAGGAAGTAAAAATTGCATTGCTGAAAGATCCTTCATCTCAATGCTACTTTTTCTTTGCGGCACCGAGCATCTATTTCCAGAGTCTATTTTCAACATCACTTGAGACTAGGAGTTCGAGACCAGCCGAGGCAACATAACAAGGCCCTGTCTGTACAGGAAAAAAAAAATTGTAATTAGCTGGGCATGGTGGCACACACCTGTGGTCACAACTACTCTGGTGGCTGAGATGGAGGATGGCTTGAGCCCAGAAGGTAGAGGCTGCAGTGAGCTATGATTGCACCACTGCACTCCAGCCTAGAAAACAGAATGAGACTCTCTCAAAAAAAAAAAAAAAAAATTAGAGATGCATGGCTTCACAGTTCTGGAGGCTAGACGCCTATACTGAATAACTGACTTGATTCCAGGAGACAAAAAGTTATCTTCTGCCTCAAACTGGGGGAAGACCCCAGGAACTCAGATTAGCTCATTTAAAATCAAGGTTCAGGTGTGGCAGGGCCCTGCCCACCCTGAACCTGTAGGAGAGGACCTTCCGGCCATGGCACCTGGCTGCATCACGCCAACCTCTGCCTCTCTTGTCACATAGCCCCTTGTCTCTTTTCTCCGTGCCTCTTGTATGGACATCAGTCATGATGGATTAAAGGCTCACCCCCCTCTAGAGTGACCACATCTTAACCAGTTCACATCTGCAACAACTCCATGTGGAAATGAGGTCAAAGTCAGAGGTTCTGGGGGGCCAGGACTGCAAAGTTTGCTTTTGTGGGAGACCCAGGTCAACTTCTAACAATGGCTAAACAAATAAACGGTGGTATCCTATACAAATGAATGTTGTTCAGTCATAAAAGGGAGTCACCGGG